GAGGGAGGGAGGGAAAGAGAGAGAGAGCATCGGCAGGTCAGAAAGCTGAAGTGGGAAAACACCCAGTAATAAAGTAACACATGTTGACATGCATGTCTGGGGTGTTCCTTTCAACAAAGGATGGGTACAGATCTGGGCTTCTAGTCAAGTGACTAGTGTCAGCCCAGCACCTGGCTCTCCATGCTCTATGGTAAGGGCCAGTTGTTCCCTCAAGTCCCCCCACCCTCTTCCTAAACCTGCTCTAAACTCAGTAGAATTGTGTGAACAAATGCACGTGCATTAAGAGGAAAAAAAAATTAACAGCTAATAAGCATATAAAAACATTCATTCCAGTCAGTAATTGAAGAAATTAAACATCAAATAATGAGACAAAAAATCCACTCATCAACTCAGCATCCTCTGGGCTTTTGCTCTTAGCATCCATTTGGACCCATGGATGACAGGGGAATTGACACTGAAGGGGTATATCGGGTGGTAATTTCTGCAGAAGGAATTTTAAGGACACATATTTTATAGTCTTAAACACATTTATGCCCTTGGGGCTGGAGAGATGACTCAGCAGTTAAGAGCACTGGTTGCTCGTGCAGAGGGCCAGATTTGGTTCCTAGCATCCACATGGCAACTAACAACAGTCCATAACACCAGGAGTTCCATCACCTTCTTCTGGCCTCTATGGGTACCAAGCACACATGAGGTGCACATACATACATCCCAGGCACTCATATAAATCTTTAATATATATACATATATACATAGAGAGAGAGATAGAGAGAGAGAGAGAGAAACCCTTTGACCCAACGATGCTACTTCTAGAAATTTCTCATACAAACATTATTAAAGCATTATTAAAGTTGTATCCAAGGATGTGTCTATAAGGATTCTCATCTCAGCTTTAAAAAAAAAATCAGAAACAACACAAATGATCAACCAAAAAACTACAAATTACTGTTTGGCATTAGGAAAGAAGAGAATATTCTGTAATTTTAAGACTAGTTTCTCAAGTGGACATAAGGATGAAGACATTTTTCATGGTATATTAAGAATTTTTTTAAGGGGGCTGGAAAGATGGCTTAGTAGTTAAAAGCACTTGCTGCTCTTCCAAAGGACCTGAGTTTGATTCCCAGAACCACACCGAGGAGCTCACAAGTGCCTATAACTCCAGCTCCAGGGGATCTGATGCCCTCTTCCAACCTCTGTGATCACCTACACATGTGTGGCATATACTCACATAGAGACACACACATACACATGAAAACAGTAAAAGTGATTTTTAAATGGGCTATGAGTCAGTATCATGTTGTGTTCTGTACAGTCACACATACTGAATACATGCATGCACCAGTAAAAAGCACAGACATTCATCACAATGTTCACTGTAGCTATCTTTGGCACAATGATTTTTATCTGCATAATCTAAAATAATGAATTAAGAATCAGAAAATCTGGGGCTGAAGCATTAAGAGCACTGACTGCTCTTGCAGAATACACCTGGTTTGGTTTCCAGCACCCACACGGTGGCTAACAACCATCCATAATTCCAATTTCAGTGGATCCAATGCCTCTTCTGGCCTCTGCAGTCATTGCACACACATGGTGCACTTACACACACACACAAGCAAAATACTCACATACATAAAAAATCGAAATTTTAAAAAGAATCAGAAAAAATTTAAAACAAACACCCTCAAAACCACCAAGGTCAGAGTCTATCCAAAGCAGGCTGTTCAGAAGCCCCAGGTAGGTACAATTGCCAAACTCAAGGCAGCCCTCAAACACACTCTAAGGAAACGGAGAAGACTGTTACCTGAGGTCACCAGGAGAAGGAAGCTATTTCCTTACTGACACAGAACCCTTATGTATATTTGGAGGAAATGAGCTCAAACTGGCCCACATGAGCACCCCATCTGCAGAGACATGCCTGCCAGTGAGAGAGGCCATCGCTCCTTACCACAGCCTTGTCCCAGATGACGGACATCCGCTCCTCCGTGCCGTTAGTGCCCTCGGGAATCAAGGTGAAGTTGTCCTTCCCCACAGCTTTCTGCGCAGTGTTGAAGGTACAGTGGGCGCTGCCAGTGACCTGGAGGTCTCCACTGCAAGGCAACACAACATGAAACTTCATTATAGCGCTGTATAAACCTCAGTCTGTCTAGTGAGATACACTGTGTGATGTCATCCACCACATGTACATCCCTCTGACACCTCATATTAAACCTCTTTGATTGACCGTGAGGATAACACAGGGTTTCTATCAGAAATTCCCACCCAGGATGGTGACAAAATAATTCCTTATTCTTATTTAGTGACCCCTCTTTGGCAAATCCTTATTTAAAGCCACCATGTGGTCACCTAACATCTACTGGGTCATTTTGGTCCAAGAAGACCAAGAGCTCAGGTGTGAACAAGTCACCAGGACTCACCAGGACAGCAAGGAGTTGAGAAAGTCTGGAGTGGTCGGGTCAGGGCTCAGAGGTGGGGAGGTGACAAAGGCGGCAGCCTTGGCCCAGTTCTTGCTCCAGTAGTGAGAGCCGTCCGTCCCCAAGCTGGCTGTGATAGGCTCGCCATACACCACAGTTCCTGACAAACGGAACACAAGAGGCTCAGCCCGACACACCAGGACAGGAGACCACTCTTAGCAGACATCACCATCTACTCTGCATTCATGGGGATGAAGCCTCACATCACAGGTGAGGAGATGATGCCTAGGAGTTGAGAACCCCAGCCAGGCAAGACCACCCAGCAAGCACTCACTCCGTCAGATGTCGCTGTGGCCCTGACCTGTGGATTCACCCTCTCCCCTCGGGCAATCCTAAACACAGCATAGGCCTCAGACTCCCACGCTGCTGATCCGCAGTTTGCAGCAACATCTCCAATTTAGATAATCCCCAATACCCAGTACTCAGAATCATCTAGAATCTTCTGTTCGGATGATCAGTGGATTTAACTATACTCTGCAGCCCCTCTGCTTAAACCCCTTCACCCTGTCTAATTCTAGCTACAGGGCTGTGAGCAGAAATTACTCATGACATTACAGGGCTAAAGTATTAGAACATAGTCTCAGGATCTTCCAGAGATTTCTAGAGGCCTGAGTTGCCAAATGAGGGGAGGCACCCACAGCAGCCACCAGACCCACAGCCAACTTCATGAGAGTGTACAGTTAGGCCACAAGAATTTCAGAGTTTCTAGAAGCCCAGCCTAACGAACCACACAATGCCCAAGAATGTCAGTTCCCTTGATGCCCAAATGATGCCCTCTTCTCTGACCACTCAAAGTGAACCAGAAAACTAGGAACCATCCAACAGGTTAAACACCGGTGCTTTTCTGCTGTAATTTTCTTCTTCTCTTAGACCAGGCCTCAAGCCTACTCTCTGTTCATTTCAACAGGACCCAACTGATTTCAGGTTTCTTTGCTTTTCCAACACCTTACCCTGTTCTCTGTCCACGCTCCCTGACACTGCAGAAGGATCCTTATAGAAACACTCTCCCATGCCATTCTCTTACATGTCATCTTAAGAAGTTCTCATGTCTTCAAGGATTTCAAACCCACCTCCACCCTGAAGCATCTACTTCCCCTGTAATCCAAAGCCAATGTCCTCTTTTTTCTATAGTCCAGCCTGGCTTCGGGGAAGGATGATCTTGAGCTTCTGATCCTCCTGCCTCTACCTCCTGAGTGCTGGGATTAGAGGGGTGCACCCCCATGCTTGACTTTTCAATCTCTGCCTGAGAAGCCCATCCTCTACTCCAGTGATCACTCACTTTTGAACTTACAATCTTTTTAAAAATTTTACGTGCATAAGTGTTTTGCCTGCATATATGTAAATGTACCACATGCGTGCAATGCCCAGGTCAGAAGAGGCTGTCAAATCACCTGGAACTGGAGTAACAGATGGTTGTTAGCCACCATGTGAATACTGGGAACTGAACCCCAGGTCCTCTGCAAAAGCAGCCAGTGCTCTTAACCTCTGAGCAATCCCCAGTCCCCCAGCCCCATTTTGAACTTGACTCCTGATGGTGACGCACTGACAATCAGTCTACACACAGTAGCCACTCAACAAATGTTTGTTCAAGCTGATTCAGTGCATTAATACTTTATTAATTAAATGCATCAGAACTGGAATTTGATCTCAGATCATAAAAAATTCACCTGCCCCTTCCCTCACCCAGCCAAGCTTTTCTCGTCTCTGCTCACAAGGCCCTCAAAGACAAACCCTTCTTAGTCAGGAATGTGCTGCCCTTCCCTGTCAGTCTTTTCAAAGGCTTATCACTGGATAATATTCCACAACACCCTCTTCGCCCAGACACTCAGAACTGGCTCCAGGGAGCTGCCCCCTCCTGCCTCAGGAATTTCACAAAGGAATGGCTGTTCAGTCAGGGAGTGTTGGAGGCCTCAACCACAGCTGCCTCCTGGCAGTCCTTAGGAAGAGTCCCCAGGCAGGAGGGAAAAGGTTCCATAGTGGAGAGAATGTGTGCCTAGAAGGAAGCCCCTGGAAGAAAGCATCTGACACAGCCCAGCTTTCCTGACCTACTAGAAGCTTCCCCAAAAGAAGCTGGTTCAATACGCATACTGGGTGCATATCCCAAAACGGAAAACACCCCACAGCCAGCTGCCGCCTGCTTGCTCAGGCCCATTGTGAGATGCAACGGCTAAGCGGTGTGTGTGTGTGTGTGTGTGTGTGTGTGTGTGTGTGTGTGCCTTCAGCCCCATGTGAGATGCAATGGCTGAGCGGGGTGTGTGTGTGTCTGTGTGTGTCTGTGTCTGTGTCTCTGTGTGTATGTGTGCGTGTGTGTGTGTGTGTGTGTGTGTGTGTGTGTGTGTGTGTGTATCTTCAGCCCCATGTAAGATGCAATGGCTGAGCGGGGTGTGTGTGTGTCTGTGTGTCTGTGTCTCTGTGTGTGTGTGTGTATGTGTGTGTGTCTGTGTGTCTGTGTGTGTGTGTGTGTATCTTCAGCCCCATGTGAGATGCAATGGCTGAGCAGGGTGTGTGTGTGTGTGTGTGTGTGTGTGTGTGTGTGTGTGTGTCTTCAGCCCCCAGCTTCAGCTGGAGCCTCAACAGATCTGATGAAATCTAATTCCTGACCCAGTCAGGTCTGCAGGTCTGGCTGGTCACTGCTCACCTGAGCACAAAGGAACTAAAGCCCTCGGGGTTTCCCAGTTTTGTCACCATGAAAATTTCAGAACATCAGCAGTTAGAGGAGAAACAAACAGCTCAGCAGTCTGGGAGACCCATAGTCTGGAACACCCTAGAACATGCCATGGTTTGTCCCTGTCATTGGATCTGCAACTCAGGCTTGATTTTGGACACCTGAGTGCAAGAAGGGGCCAGTGCTGGGAACAGAGAGGCCTCACTTCAGACTGGGGTGGGGGTGCTGATGCTCAACAAAGGGCCCCCTCCCCTCTGTCACACTAGCATAAGCCTCAGAGGACAATGGATTCAGCCTTTGGATGGGGTTGGAGTTTCCAAGGTCACTGCTGCCCTGAGCCTTCCTCCTTGACCAAGGCTGAGTGAGAACTTCTGGACCCCACAAGCCAAAATGGAGCATGCAGACACTGGAGGGGTAGGGACCGGGAGACGGGCAGAGCCAGCTATAACTGCTTCTGCTGTACTCCACTCAAGGACTTTATCCGTGAGTATGTATGCACACTTGTGTATGTATAAACAATGTTACATGTAAGTGTCCATGAAGGCCAGAAGAGGGTGTTGAATCCCCTGGAGCTAGAGCCATAGGCAGTTGTGAACCACCCAACATAGGTACTAGGAACTGAACTCTGTCCTTCTGCAAGAGTACGTGCTCTTAACCACTGAGCCGTCTCCCTAACCTCTGTTCTTCTTCATTTAAACCTCCACAAGATGCTAGGCACAGTGGCGAAGGACTTTAATCCCAACACTCGGAAGGTAGAGGCAGGCAGATCTCTGTGAGATCAAGGCCAGCCTGGTCTACACAGCAAGTTCCAGGTCAGCTGGGGCTATAGGGAGACTCTGTCTCAAAAACTAAATATATATATATAAAGTAAAGAAGCAAATAAACGAATCGACCTCCTGAGGGAACCAGAGGTTCTGACCACCTCTTACTTTTGTCCTTCAGCTCCAAAAGTTAGGGCAGGAGTTAACCGTCGTGTCCAAGACCTCCACTTTCAGGGGAGTTTGGTTCACACACTGGGCTCTGCCCCAACCCTCATTCCATCCCTGTGGCCCAGTACCTCACCCCAGGCTCCTCTCCCTGCCCTGTAACCCCTATGTTAGAGGGAGCCATAGACTGGCTTCCGGAGCTCAGTCAGGCCACAGACACCAGCAAGATGAGAGCCAGCAATCATTACCACTAATAATAATAAACCACGAACGGCTTAATTGGCCTTTCTGTGCTTCTCTAAACACAGTGCTGACACTTTCTTGGCGGGCCGTTGGAACTCATGACTCTTTTCTCCAGGGAAAGTCTAAACTGATGGATGTGACCCCAAGCCAGCCTCTGGCAGGCGCACTAGTCAGGCCGGGAATGCAGGGAACTGGAGGGTGATGTTTATTCACAACCAGCCCCAGGCCTTGAATGTTCATGAAGAATAAATGCAAGCTGGGGTTTGGAAATGTTTGACAGTTCTGGGCTCCGACAGTTAGTCATTTCCCATGAATGAGAAGCAGGACAAATCCAAAGTAAGAACAATGGAAAATTGCAGACAGGGAACTCAAAATGCAGCCCCAGAAGCCAAGTCAATGGATGGACAGAGCTGCACATCATTACATTAGAGTGTGCATGCCACAGTCTCATGGCTGCCTGGGAGCTATTCAGAGAAATCTTAGTAGCAAGAATGGTTCTAAAGAAACAAATCCAGGCTGAAGAGATGGCTCAGCAGTTATGAGTACTGGCTGCTCTTGCAGAGGACCCAGGTTTGGTTCCCAGCACCCACACAGCAGCAGTTCCAAGGGATCTGACAGCCTCTTCTGACTTCCATGGGCACTTACATACATTTGGGCAAAACACATATGCATAAAATAAATAAAAGAAACAAATCTTTGGGGGGGTGCACATGTGTGTACAGCATCTGGAGACCACAGAAGCTGTCTCTCATTGGCCTGGAACGCATCAAGTAAGCCAGACTAGCTGGCCAGTGAGCCCCAGGGATCTGCCTGTCTGTCTTCTCAGCACCTAGCATGCACCACCACACCTGGCTTTCTTTACATGGCTTCTGGGAAATGAACTCAGGTACCTGTGCTTACAAGGCAAGCGCTTTACCAATTTTATCTCCCTGGCCTTGTTTTTGTTTTTTGAGCCAGGCTAATATGTTGCCCAGGCTGGCCTAACAAAAAATTCTGCTTCTGCCTCCCTAGCTTGGCCCTAAGGATTATCCCCCAGGTGAGGTGGCCCTAAGAGCCCTCATGACCACATGACTAAAGGCTTCTTGTAGTGCCCAAGCATCCCTATTCCTGTACTGGGATTATAGGTATGTACCACTTCATCAGGCAAGAAACAAAATCTTCAAAATAAGTTCTCTGAAGTTTCTAGAATTGCCTCTCTAGTCTAAGATGATTCAAAGGTACTAATGATTCTATTTGCAGCAAAGAAAACACATAGTCTATGTCAACAATGGGGCAATGAAACAGACAAAACCTCAACTGAGTGCCCTGAGTCAAACACTTCTAAGAAGCAAGGCTCTGGGTGTTGCATTTGATGCTACAGAACATTTTTAAAATCAAGTTAACAAACAGAATAGGATTGGTTAGTTGCTTCTAATGGTCCTGAGCAAAACAGGGAAATTAAAATAAATAAATAAACTAAGGGATTCAAATTCCCAGATCAGGCACAAGTCAAGATTTTCTGTCTGCCCTGAAAGAGCCCTTTGTATCATACAGATGAGCAGAGGTGGCTGAAAATCAAGCCCAGGATCTTATCCTACCTGGCTGAATTATAATGCAAGCTGAATTCCCAGCCTGGAAGGCATATGCTGATCAAATGGGGGCACTGACTAGGAAGGGCTTCTGTCTCCACACAGCGTCAGGTCTGAGCGGCAGCATCATCTCTCACCTGGGTCTCCAGACTGCTCGCCTTCCCTGAAGATTTCACTCTCCAGCTCCACTGTTACATGAGCCAGTGCTTTGAAATAAATCTGCCTCTGTCTGCCTGTCCCCTCCCTCCTCTTCCCGTGAGCTATTCTCTAATAACAGCTGGGAGTTTATGACATTCACAACCCTACTTGCCTGCCACTGTCACTCCCAAGTCTAGCTCAAAACAGTTATGTGGTACATTAACTTAACCCAAGGATTCATCCCCAAGGTAAGGGGAGCGTCCCATTCCCCTTAATCACATGGCCACAGTCTTCTCATGACCATCCCTATTAACCTGTAGGGTATGAAAAGTCTGGTCTTGGATTTGGGGTCCCAGGGTTTAGTGTCTCTTGGTGGCCATGACTGTTTGAATGTGGCTGACCTTGGATTCTAAAGCTAGGTGAAGTCAGCAGGTACTGCCCACCATGGGCTACCATTCCCACACAAAGGCATCCAGAGCCACACAGGACTCCTCACATGGGCAAAAGGCTGCCGATAGAGAGTTCTGACGGAGGAATTCCCACCCTGGACCCTCATGGGAAAGAGATGGTAAGATGTCGGGAATCGTGGCTTCTACTTCCCAAGAGCTGGATGGTTAGAAATATGTTCAATTTCTGCATTTCAGGTTCTCTTCCGAGACATAAGCTTATCAAATTGTGCACCATCTATCAATTTTTCTTAAGAATAAGACCCAACATGGCTGGGCATGGTGACACATGTCTTTAGTAAGCCTGGAGGCATAGTCCTATAATCCCACCTACTAGGAAGGCTGTGGAAGGAAAATCACAAACTCAAAGCCAGCCTGAACAACAGTTGAGAACCTATCCCAAAAACACTGTGAGATGCAGGACCAGGATTTAGCTCTGAGGAACTGCACTTGCCAAGCACATGTACAACCCCAGGTTCAAATCCCAGTCATGCAAAAAATACAAATAAAATTGGCCAAGATATTCCAGTTATGCTGTGTTTCATCTCTCAACACAGTGAGGCTGATGAGGTGCTGTCCTGCCGTATGGCACTGAATGTGGTCACCACAGGTCACCCAGAAAAGGCAGGCTACTGCTGTGTTGGGTTGAGTGGGCATGGGGCTACCGCCTGCGCTAGCTTTCAGCCCAAGTTCTTAAAGCCATCTCACTGTCTCACTTGCTTAAACATTTCTCTCCTTGGTCACAGGACAAGCAGACCTGGGGTGGAAGGCTAAGGGCAAATAGAAAAAGATCCTGTCACTGCTTACTAAGATTAAGACTTTTTTTCTAAGTCCTTCCCACAGCCTCACCCCCGTAGACTCTGTCCTGTGTTCAAGTTCTGCCTGGCCAAGACCTCTTCAACACCCTAACCATTCCTCTTGAGACTTTCTGTTCCACATCATCTTCCCCAACAAAGGAAGCTGCTGAGGGTCAGGACCAGTTCTTGCTTGCTCATGGCACCCAGGTCTGAAATATCACACAGGAAAAACACAGGGGCAGTAATGAGGAACATGGAGAAAAAAACGGGAGAAACCCAGGCTTCCTTAAAGCACAGATGAGATGCAGGGGTAGGAGGTTGGCAGTGCCCCACACGTCCCTCTGAGGACCCCAAGAACCCAAAGTAGAAAAGCAATCCTTAGCAGGAAACCTTTTGCTCCAGGTCCACATGGATCTTGGCTTGTCTAACATGCTCGAGGTTAAACCAACCTTCTGTTCTCCAGTGACAAAGACAACTGGAAAGTTACTGTGTACATCTTCACCCTCGTGTTAGCTCATTTCCACACAAGTATCCCTCTGTGACAGCTCCTACTCTCCCTTTGCAAATGGGAAACAGGCTGAACGATGGTAAATCACGTGGCTAAAGCATCATCGAGTGGGGTTTGATAGAGAACAGTCCTACTGATACCAGGGAACACACCTTGGTCATTTGGGAACCCTTGTTTCTTATTACACAGGACTCTGCTGAGGGTCAGACTCCAGTTTCTACCAGAACTAAGCCCCAGCACATACAGACCACAAGAATTTCCTATATCAAAATAACCTCCAAGAGGGAAAGTGAGTTGATCAAACATTAACATAGAGATTTGAGGCCTGCAGTTAGATGCCCAGTGATCAAGTCCAATTCTACTTTCTCCAAGCTCTGAGCTGTAAAGTAAACCAAAAGTTCGAAGTTCCTGCCCAGGGTGCCTGTTAGTGCTGTTGGTAACTCCAACAAGGTAGAAAGCCTTTCTTACCCACTCACAAGGGTGGCTAGAACTTTCTGCTCTTGCTGGTTAGCACCTGAGGGCACTGGAATCCCTCCCAAGCACTTGGATATCTCTAATACAAAAGCTCTGAAGAATGAAAGGGCAACAGTTTGAATGCAAAGGCCACTCAGAATTACAGTGTAGGCACAGCTGGATTCATGCACGGAAGGTTCTGGAACAGAACTGACTGAAATACTTCCCTCTTCGGCCAGGGACAAGAATAACAAAAGGCCCTGGGCCCCAGGGCAGAGTGCAGGAATGAAACCGCATGCTATGTAGACACATGCTGGCCCCACACTTCAGGGATGTCCAAGAACAGGCTTAGGTACTGCTGGGGAGCCAGCTCAAGGCTCCAGCTTCCTAAATGCGGTCTGGAAAGAGGCCAAATCCCTCCATCCTCTAAGGTGCACAGGTGGGTATACGACTACTCACACTTGAGACAAGAAGGCCTCAAACCCAAAGCCATGTTAAACATTTGCTGACTTCTTACTATCATCAGGGAACAGAACGGCTAATAAAACACACAAAATCAGCCGCCCCCGACCTTTCCCTTGTTCAGACGCTCTGCTCGCTGTGCCCACACTACAAGCACAATAGTGCCAGGAAGGGTCTTCAGTGCTGAGGCTGAACCCCAAGCACATCCGGCCATCCTACAAATGTGCATGGGTGATAAAAAAGTACCACAGACTCAGTCACCATCCACCAGGTCTCCTCGAAAAATAACTCAAAGCAGAAGGATCAGAAACTCAAGGTCATCCTTGGCTAAACAGTGAATTCAAGGCCAGTCTGGGCTACATAAGACCCTGTCTCAAAATGCCATGAATGAATGAATGAATGAATGAATGATCAATCAATCAAATAAAAGGAATAAATGATAGGCGAGAGATAGATGATAGACAGACACACAGATAATCAATCAATTAAATAAAAGGCCATTTCCTCAAGCTGCCAGGAGAGGGCACATACTCAAAAATCAGTAGCGCATCAGAGCTCCAAAGAGCAGGGGTAAGGAATCACAGGGTGGGTCTGGAAGCCATCATCCCTTGGGACTAGCTGATTAAGTGGTCATTAAGCAATTTTTTTTTCTGGGGCCTGTACCAAGTCACCCACCATCAAAAACATCCCACAGTCCTTCTGACCCACGTGGATCATACACAGAAACAGAGCCAGAGAGGCCAAACTGTTCCCTTATTGACAGAGAAAGATGGGGAGGGGGGGAGATTGGGATAAAAGCAAAGAACTGGAGATACAGGAAACTGGAGGGAGATACGGCAAAGGGGTGGGGAGACAGAAAGGAAGAAGGGGGTCCCTTTGCAATGTTCCTTTTCAGATCGGGTTAATGGCCCTCCTCAAGATCAGCACTATACTTTCTGGCTCTGTATGCTGGGCTAACTCCCAAGCAAAAAGCATGTATGTGATTAGCCAAATACATAGTAGGCGGCAAGTGACAATGGGCTGTTTATTCATAATGTACAAAGTACACCATGGAACGTCCCTGAGAAGTGCTACAGATGCACTTAGTGAATTAGTTTGCAAGACCCTTCTCAGAAGAACCAGCTTCACTCAGAAGGCATCCACGGTGTATTGACAGGAGTAATCTGAGCCTCCAAACTTGGACAGGATCGGATCTACCCTGCACAAGGCTCTGACTGACCCCGGTAAGCATACCCACACTAGGGAGGGGAGACACATCTTGCAAAGTTACACTCTCTCTAGAAGCATTCTGTAGCCAATGAAAAGTGACGTAACCTGTGTATGTAACTAGTTTGTTTAGACCGAATCAAATTAAAATAAACTTTCTGTGGGAAGAGAGATACCTGCCCACCCAGCCTTGGTTTTAAATAGATACAAACAAGGCCACAGCTTCGGAACAAAGGGAGGAAACTAGAGCTCCCCACTCTGCTGGGCTGTAATTAGGTTAATGCTGGAATGTGATGAAAGCAGCTCAGTTGGCACAAGGGTCAGAAAAGAAGCCTCCCTGGTGAGCCACGTGCTCCTTCCCAACTCTCACAGCCCTCCTGCCAGGCCCACAGAGCTCACCCTTCTTCCGTGCCTGGGCGATGACTTCCGCAGCGCTCTTGCTCATGACTCGGGTGACATACAAGGGGCAGTTGGTCTGATTGGCAATGGTGATGGAACGGTTCACAGCTTCAGCCTCGACCTACAGGAGGACAGAGAACTCATCTTTGCCCTCAGTCAGCAACAGGGACAAGTGGGCCCCCAAGCACCTCCCCTAAGTGGCACCCAGCATTCAGTTAACACTGGACGGTACAAAGACAGGGTAACTGCTCCCCAACCAGTCTTGAAGTATGGTTAGCAAGTCAGCAACACCAGCATCAACTGTAAGAAATGCAGATTCCTGGGCCCCACTAGACCCTGAATCTAGGAACTCTGGGAGTCAGAACCCAGCTGTATGGATTGTAACCACTCTTGGTGATTATTATGGAACCATCTTGGCAGGAATGAGGAGACTTTGGAGACACTTGGGTCCCTCCCTTTCGCTATCAGACTATCGAAACAATGGTTCCTAAGAAATCAGAATTTCCCCAGGAGGAATCTCATGCTGGGAGAAGGAAAAGGCTGAAGCCCAGCCAGCCGGAGGGGGAACTCGTCTCCAAGAAAGAGGCTTTGCACAGCCTGTCAGAACAGTAACGAGACAATGTGAGTAGGATCACACCTGACCAGGACTGCTTGGCTACATTACCTCTTGCTTCCTATTTAAATGTTTTATTATTTTATTATTTGAAATGATATGTATGTGTGTCTGTATACATGAGTGCATGTGCCTATGGAAGTCAGAGGCATCAGATCCCCTAAAGCTAGAGTTATAGGCAGTTGTGAACTTCCTACATCAGTGTTGGGAACCCAACTTGGTCCTCAGGAAAAACAGTATGTGGGGGCAACTGAAGATGGCTAGTCCAACCTAGCTTGTTAGGACTGCCAAAGCCCAGGCTCTGACCCTAACTCTAGTAACACTTCACTTGCTAGTGTTTGAAAACCACCACACCCAGATCCTGGCTGGTCTCAATGTGCTGAATGTGGCTGAGCACATTCATTCTGTTCCCATGATCCTGGGCAAAGACACTCAGTGTCCTGACTTTAGGGCTGAGCATCTGAGATGCTCCCAAAACAAGCCAGCAGCATTCGCAAAACAAAGAGAGCTCACAGGACGTGGGAACAGAGCAGAGAGCAGCATCTGAACACCAAGAGCCCCTGTGGGTGTGACTGGCCAGCCACAGCCTGGTACGACCTTCAGCACAAGATGAAGAACTATCCCCCATCAACCATCTGGCTCTTTTAAATGGATCCTCAGGGAACAGAATTTCAAAGATTCCACTCGATGACTGCTCAGCACTTGACCCGGGGAAGACATCCTATACGCTGTACCAGGGACTCAGCAATGTATGTTTATCATGGCAAGTGAAGTTGACTCAAAGCAGATCCAAGAGGCCATTGGATGTTCTGCCAAATTGAGACTATGGCGTGAACTCTTCCAAGTGAGAAGCAGGCTGGCCTTATTCATTTCTGAACCAGTCATGCCCTGCCCCAATACCCCCAGAGCAGGGACAACGGTATACAACAAGTGCTCAAAAGTCTTTCCTGCACAAAAAAAAAAAAAAAAAAGACTTGACTTTATTAATGGAACTTTAACACTAGGCTGCTACTTTTCACAGGAGACAGCTCCTCTCCTGGCTAAGTTGACTGGGCTAGCCCATTCCACAGATGAGTGGCTGGGCTGGGGTCTGTCACTGCCCAGAGTACTCATGCCACAGAGGGAGAGGAAGCCTCAGTCACACCCAGGCAGAGCAAAAGCTCTAGAAAACACTAAACACCCAAATGTTTCTCATTCCTGGGATTACTGAAGGCAGCCTCCCTCAAGCTCCACCCCCTCCCCCCAAATCCTTCCACCCCACCCTCCTTGCCCTCCCTAGAGTATCCTACTGGGCCTCCAGCTCAGGTCTCCAGTGTGTATGAATGAAAAGGGCTCTAAGAGCCTCAGTGCTTCCCAGGGATGCCGGAAGCAGCCCTGACTGAACGTCCCAGCACAGACTCCACAAAGGGACAGCCGCACTATTAACACGGCACTGCAGGCAGAGCCCAGGCCTGTCCTCAGTAAACTGGGGTATGCAATGGCTCTAAGTAAGAGGACAAATGGGACCCACTTCCACTCGGACTTCTGGGAAGAATCCTGGTCCCTAGGGTCCGCCGTCTGCATTTGCACACACACTGTGAATGAAGTTCAGGCTCCATCTGGCCCCAGAAAGTGGCTTGAAGTTGGACAGGGGTCAAACTAAAATGTCAGCTTGTTGGAAGAGAAGGTACTTTAACCCCACTCCCCATGTTCCAGCCAGAGCAGTATCTAGCCTCCTGAGTTTAAGAGTACACCTCTGATCTTAAACAGACACTGCTGCATATATAACGTGGAGCTGTGATTTAGCTGTCTCTTTAAAATATTGTAAAAATTTTATTACAGATCAAAATAAAACCACTTCTCATTACAGGGCTCTAGGGACTCTGGAGGGTTAGCTATGTGATTTTACAGATAGGGCAGCACAAGGACAAAACAGAAATGACCTATCCACGGACACCGAGCAGTGTCAGGACACTGAGTTCCCAGCACAGCCCGCCCATCTTGGCAGCATGCATGCCTCGGACAGACATTCTGTGAGGCACAGCTGGGAAGGCCCCATCTCCGTGTCAGGTTCTCCATTACGCACATCTGGGGCTTCACTTTCTTCCCAGACCCCAGGCTCTGACAGCTGTCCCCTGCTGGTAAGTAGCCACATTCTAAGCCTACACACAGCACTTCCTGGCTGCCTCTGTGCCCCAGCTCACTTCAGTCCCTCTCAGACAGGACCATCTCCCTCTGGTCTCACTGCCCACACAGGCTGAGAACTGATCTCAACAGAACACATGGTAATCACCACATATCCACCTGAGGCAACTCAGAATTCTACTTCTCACGGTCCCCCTCTTTCCATCTTCTGAGCTAAAAAGCAGGGACAGTTCCACATGGCACATGGCAGGTTAGGAAGGGAAGCATAGAGTCGCAGGAAGATGTTGGGAAAGTTCCATCACGGCACTAGTGACGAAAGAGACCCTGACATCATGTGGTAATTAACTGGTTACTAACTGCTGTGTCCAACGCGCTGGCAGTTTCTTCCTAGGTGGGACGTATTGCCAAGCCCAATCAGAACCGTTCCATGTTTGAGTCTCTGTTGTCGTCCCCTCGGAGTTTAACACACAACAGATCTCTCTTGGCAAACTGGACAATTACCATCAAGAGTCATGGCAGGGGTCTGAGGAACGAAGTCCTAATTCTATTCTGTCCCCCTCCACACCTCTCAAGTCCTCACATCAGGCCTCATTTCACAGGACTGTCACAGGGTGAAATCACTCGGGGCAGCACCACATTCTGTGCCTGGCAAAAGACAGACACCCCCAAATCAGCTGAAAAACAGACTCCCACAATGTTGTATGCTCCTGTCCCTGCTGGTCCTCAGGACCTTCCATAACTGAATCATAGTTGCCAGAGAGAAGCCCCTGTGCTGAGCCACACACAAACGGCTTTAATGCTTCTGCTCAAGGAGCAATCAGAACAGCCCCTCCCTGATAGCTCTTTCCTCCCGGTAAACATGTGGGCGTCCTTCCTGTTTTCCGTGTTTTACTCCACAAATGGACCTAAAGTTCTGGGAGCCACTGGCCCCAGCTCCTTCCCAACCTGCTTTTCAAACATTTCTAACCTGTTTCTGGCAGAAACACCTTAATGTTGAGCCTCCATCTGTCCAGGTCCCTGAAAGTTGGTTTCCTCTGCCCTCATCCACAGCTCCCCTTTTCCTAACACCCTGTCACTTGATGCTCTGTCGGAACTCCGTCACCATTCTCTTCCCTCACAGCCACCAGGATGCTTGTTGGCCTGACCTTGAGTCTGGAAAGTGTTAAAGGCTAAAATTCAAGCGGTAAAAGCTCCACCTCCTAAGACAGGAGACCCACAGCCCTCTGACTCACAAACCTCATTCTCCAGGATGGACAGTAACTTTGTGCTTCTCACCCTCAGTCAATCCTGCGCAAAGTTTTCTCCTTGTCATTTTCAAAGGTTTGTCCACTAGACCCCACTGAGAGCACTGTGCTCTGTGCGAGGTCATCATGTGTGTTTCAGAGATGCAGAAGAGCTTTTTGGTCCCATCCTATGGTTTGGTACCAGGCTGTAAGTGATAAGCCGCTAATGCCCAAAGTTCAGGATGCTAATGGAAAACTGTCTGTTCATGTAAGAAACAGTTTGGACAGTTAGACAAAAAGGGACAACCAAGTTAAACAAACCATATCACTTGGCTTTCAGGGTCAGCCTAATACTTCACTTTGCCTGTATACACACACATACACACACGGACGCAGACACGGACACACACACATGGATATACACACCACTTCTCGGAAAGACCAGTGTACATCCAAGAAGCCCATTCTCAACAGATAAAGGGTGGGTTCTGTGTGCTACCAAGTCCTCACATATCCCACATCCCACATCCCAGATGTTCACCTCCTCAGGCCGGCTCAGTACGTGTCCTTCAGGGCCTGTGATGCCCAGATCCAGGATCCTCTGCTGCTCCTGAAATGTGTAAAGAAAGTCAGGTGATCGGGAAGCTGGGCTTCAGGTTAACTGATGAACAGAAACCTAGGCACAAAGTTCCCCAGCAGTAAGTAGAGTAGACCCTGCTGGACACCCAGATTCACCTCAAACCTCAGAAAGAGAAGGGGTCACTGCCTTCAGCCCAGTTCCACCTGAGCAGGCCAGCCTCCCAAACTGCTCAGCATCCCTTGGGAAGCTGAAAGCGGGTATGTTCCTGGGCCATCGCACAGTGTAAGATGATGCCCAAGTGTGACTAGGGAGCTCCTGAATTCCATCCAGGACAGCTGCACTGCAGTGCCAGGAGAAAGGACCTCTCTGGAGTGGGAAGTGAGCACATGTTCTACAGAACAACCTGCGTTCCCACTAGCAAGACATCATTGACACAGCCCCAGTATCAGAACACCAGGCCCTCTGGATTCCCACCCCAGGTCTTCAGATTCCAAAACGTCCCCACATTCCTGAGCCTGCCTCTCACCCTCCAGGAGATGGAGAAAATGTAAAGAGCACCCCGTACCTCTGCAATGATGTCACCATTCTCCGCATGAACTTGGGCTATGGCACCAATATCCCGGATCACGCTCAACACTTCATATATCTGAGGGAGAGAAGAGGGGCTCAGAGATGGGAACTGCATCTTCCTGGTCATATGGAAACCCTCTAGGTGGAATGAGCCTTCCTCTAGGCTGCTTCTGACAGAGGAAGAGCCTCTGCCATTCAGAGCGGCAGACCAACCCAAAAGACAGGAATGAGGGTGAGAAACCGGGGGTGACACCCAGCTCTACACCAGGTATGCTGAGGTACTCTGACCGACACTTAGGCCATGCAGTGCCCTGGTTACAGGTTACAATGTTTGATTCCAAAGCCTGGCAAAGTATGACCTGGGGCATGAGTTCACACTTGCACCAAAGGCCAGTTCCGTCAAAAACCAAACCTGCCAGCCATGTCCTGTGACACTATAGGACACACACAGAAGACTGCTTCTCCAGATAGCCACAGGATTCTAGAATGTCGTGAGCCTACACAGAAGGGCTGCTTTCTTACCTGGGAATCCGTCAGCTGGAAGCGATCTTTGAAAGCCATGTACACAAGGAAGGAGTTTACCCCTGGTAACAGACAAAAGAGAGTGACGGGGACGTGACTGCCAAGAAATACACCCAACGGAACAATCTGGAAGGGAATAAAGTGATAATACTATTTGTGCATTTGTGCATCCGTGCGTATCTTATGGGGAAGGTAGGGGGGAGGGACACAGGGACAGAAATGGAGACACAGTGAGCAGCGGTGGCAACGCTATCATCCCAGCTATGCAGAGGATGACGCTCAAGGCCTGAGCGACAAAGTATTTTCAAGGGCAGCATGGACAACTTCATGAAACCCTGTTTCAAACAATAAATAAATAAGAAGATCTGGGGATATAGGTCAGTGGTAGAGCATTTGTCTGGCATGCATGATGCCCTGGGGTCAATCTTCAGCATCACAAAAGGGGGGGTGGGGATCGGCAACTGGGAATAGGATTCTTAGAAATTCTTCTTAGTATTCTTGTGATTTTCCTGTTTAGGAAGTTTAAAATTATATAAAAATTAAAAGTTACGGTATTAACACAGTCATGTCCACAAAAGCATTATTCACAAATTATCAAAAGTGGAGCCAACTCAAGGGAACATTAGTGATGAACAGACCCACAAAATATGGTCTGTGTAAGACAGAGCATCACCACTCAGCCTCGCAAAGGAGATTCGTACATAAGATCCAACAGGGATGAACACAATCTGCTGAGGAAAATAAGCTGATCACAAAAGACAGGCACGGGGTGATTTCATTTACAGTGTGACTTAGAGCAGTCAAAGTCATAAAGACAGAAGGTAAGACAGGGGTCGGCCAGGGCTGGAAGAAGGACAGTTAAATGAACTGTTGAATTAACAGTACTGTGTTCACACTGTACAGATCTTCATTTTAGCAAGTCAAAGTGTTCTGGAGATGGACAGTGGTGATGGTTTCTTTTTCTATTACTTTTACTTATTGTGCGTGTGTCTGTGTGTCCGTGTGTCTGTGTGTCTGTGTGTGTACTTGTACCACAGCGTGCATGTCGAAGTCAGAGAACAATTTGTGAGAGTTAGTTCTCTCCTTCCATGTGTATCCTGGGGACTGAACTCAGGTCGTGAGCCATCCCACAGGCAAGGCGGCAATGGTTTTAAAACAAGGTGAATGTATTTCTTGCTGCTTAATTGCATACTTACAAATGGTTAAATTTGTACTTTACCACGTTTTTAAAGCTGTCTCCAAACAAGTCTATATTTTGACTTTGACAAAAAAATGAATTACAAATTCCATGTGTATCCTGGGGACTGAACTCAGGTCGTGAGCCATCCCACAGGCAAGGCGGCAATGGTTTTAAAACAAGGTGAATGTATTTCTTGCTGCTTAATTGCATACTTACAAATGGTTAAATTTGTACTTTACCACGTTTTTAAAGCTGTCTCCAAACAAGTCTATATTTTGACTTTGACAAAAAAATGAATTACAAATGTCTGTCTGTGAAGATCAGTAATAAATGTTTTTTTTTTTTTTTTTGGCAAGCCATGCTGATTTTTAAGAAACATCTTTGTAAATAAGAAGAGGTCCATTAGTTGGACAAGCAGATGTCTCATCCTGACGCCTTGAAATTCTTGCCTTGTGACACACCAGAATAAACATCCCTGTCCAAGGTCCATCACAATCCTAACAACCATCCTGACAGTGTTGGAGCCTTAGCGCTTAATTCAAGCCAGCTGGGGGTGCTTGAAGCTGCCTAAACTAAGCTGCCTCTGGCCATCCTGGCTCTGTTCCATGCCAGACAACAGTTACCATGGAAACCCACCTGGCCTGATTTGGGATAGATTGATTCTGAGTACTGAAAGTTAAAATCCACTGGAGTCTGTGTATTCTCAAAAGGTAAAAAAGATTCTGACTAGAGATCAGAAATGCCCGAAGTGTTTGGAGGCTCTAATCCCAGGTCTGGTTCCTAAACGATTTTACGGTACCCCTTGGGGGATGGGGAACTGTACACTAGCACTGAAGGTCCATTAAGGGAAAGTGGTTTACCTCCTAGTCAAAAGGATACCATCTACCTCTGAGTGCAGACATGTCATGTCTCCTCCCTTAAAAGTTCATTTAGTTGCGCTACCTGGCTAAGGGACCACTCCTGGGGAAGGCAGATCCTAACGCAAGCCTGAAGAGGTAGGCAGAATAATTAGCTCTTCCATGAGATAATGTATTTTTCCTTCCAGAATTCCCACCTCCCAGCACAGCAGCTTACAGAGCCGCAGTCAGGGAGTTCCGTAAGTCTGTCTGCTTCCCTGAATTACTCAGAAAAGCACAACCCTTTCTTATCTGTTTTCTATGCTTTCCTCACAAGTCTCAGTCTTTCTCTGAAACACCCCTCCCCACCATGTGACCACTAGTCCAGCATGTGGCTGACCTCATGAGCTCATACCAGCTTCACTCAGAACAGCATGGATTCCTTCCTTTCGCTTCTCTGTCTGCCCTCTCTGGGCAGCATGTCTGCCCTGGTTTTAAACTCTAATAAAAAAAAAAGTGAAACGTCTAAGATTGCCCTGTTTGCTTGTTTGTGGAACCTTCACAGTGGAAAGAATTGTAGTGGACATCCAATATTCTCATAAGACATGTCCAAAATACTGGGATGCAAGCTTTATGTCAACTATCCAGCTAATCTGTGATCAAGCAAAGAATAAACCTAAGTCCCTGCTTCCCGCTCTGGGGCCTGTGGTACCGCATCTATGGATGTCTCTCCCATCTGTATCCATGCCCAAGATTTCCCTCCTGGCTTTTCATTTACAGTACATGCTGTTTGTGAGCCTGAAATGCTAAGAACACGAAATCAGAATGTCTCCCCCACGAGTCAAGATCTCTTAACAAGTGACCCCAGAGCTTAGTCCATGGCCAAGCTGAAAGGGAACCAGGAAGAAGTAGGGGGCCTGACTCCACCACCTGATTGCCCAAGGCTCCTGTAGACCAGAACTACTGGCCTCCCTGTGAGCTTCCCAATCCCTGGGAAGTAGAAGAATCCTCCTGTCGTCTCAAGCTTGAGGCATCTCATCACCTCATGGGGTACCTTGTTCTTCCGGATTTGTGTAGAGTGTCTGCCCAACACTCCAGGCTCACCGTGCCCTCTAAGACCACCCCACGGCCTCACTCAGTCACGCACTTATAATTCTTGGAGGGTCAATCAATCACTCCCACTGGAGACCAGATCTCTCAGGCCAGAGAGCTGTGGACGCTATTACATAAGAAGGAACCTGTCACACTTTCTCATCAATAAAGGCTTATGTTCCTACACTGGGCCAGACCCCCTCTAACCAGCAGAGGCTGTAGCCCAAGGCCCCCATCCTCTTGCTCGGGGAAGGCAGGAACAGGGCCTGGAAATGGTAAAGTGTTTCCTCAGAGCTGAGCCAGGATTTGAGCCAGAACTAAGTACCTACAGAGGTGTGGAGATGGTAACCTACCATGGTCCTTTACCAGGGCCTCCATCTCCTCCTGGATGCCCTTGTGCCACTCAGTGATGTCCACATGCAGAGAGTAATCGCAGCAGGACTTGCTGTCAGCCCACTCCCTCCACTGGTCGAAGGCGGCCAGAAGGCTGGTCCCAGGTTCAGGAACAACATGGTCAACTAGAAAGAACAGACATTTGCGATCTTCAGCAGGAAACTCATGAGAAAGTGTTTATCCACTTGAACTCTGAACCTGACTCCCAATAGAGATAGTGATCGCTCCAAAAGTGTCTAAGAATGTACTTAAGTCAGCTGAGTACTTCACAGAGAGAAACTTGGCACTGGACAGCACACCAGTGAAACCACGCATGAAGGGCCCAGATCTGATTTCCCAAATCTTGAGTACCTGAGACCTGGGGCACATTCAGAGGACAATGTGTCCTTATGGACCACAACAGCGTCAGAGCCAGCCATAGAAGCCAACCCTTCTTTACACTGCCAGCTGCTATGGGATGCCCCCAGTAAACAGCTGGGTCTCAGAGGGGCTAGAGCACAGCCATCCACATCAGGCTTCCCCAGAACACTCCACAGACCCGCTCACCCCTGGTCACTCAGGTTTCCACAACGCTGTAATTTAAGGGCCATCTTTTATCTTAAGAATTCAAAGCGTTTTAAAGCTGGGCTTTTCTGTGATATTATTACCAAGATAGGCCGATAACCAGGACAAAAGACCATGAAGTCAGGCTACTCCGGTTCTGTTTTCTGACTCTGCTGGTTACCTGCAGGTGCCCTTGGGTAAACTACTGACTCTCTGCTGCCTTGGTTTCTGTGCCGGTTTTGGAGAGGATAATTATTACCTAGCGCAGACCTGGTTATGAGGATTACATTGAGACAGCAGCAATATCTACCGACTTTACATTGCTCCCCTATTTAAATCCCCCAGTAGCTTCTCCTTGCAGTACAGATAGAGTCCCCAACAAGCTCTGTAAGATCCTGCCCAGTTTGGCCCTGGCTGATCTCTGCAACATGACCCAGTGCCATCTCCTCTCACCCTTCTCTCCAGTAAATAGGCCATCTTTCAGTTGCTGCATTTAGTCTGTTTCCTCCCACCACAGGGCCTTTGCACATGCAAAGTTCCCTAGAAAGCCCTTGTCCAGCTTTTTTGATAACCAAAGTTTACTGGAACATTTTTTAAATCTCATCTTCTGCAGAAAACAGCCCTAAAATCCCAACTGAAATGATCTGTCCAAGGTTAAATCAAACCCATGCTACAATAAAGATATAAAACTCAGGACTCTAGGCGCCTAAAGCAATGAGCTATTCTTCCAAAATAAAATATTAGATTTCTTACACCCAGGTAAGCAGTTCTGAGCATGAATGAGCTCAGATTTCTGAAATGGATCAAATCTTGCAGACGTGGCCAAACTAAGATGGGCTGAGCTTGGCTTTGTACGTATCACAAGTCATCAGATACACCAGTTACCCACATCTGAACATTACAAATTGTGCACACATACTGAATGTTACATTGTGCCCTATAAGTAGAAGCAGTGATTATATGTCAATTAAAATAAGTATGTTTTAAAATATGGCCATCTAAGTGCTTTTGACAGAATCCACTCTTTTGTACGGATTTATAGGTATTAACACAAAATATAAGAATCAGTCTACGTAATGAGAGGAATACATAGTTATCTTGTATCCATAATGTGATATTATCTACTAAGCCCACTGGCAAAATGCTACCATAGAAACTCTCTCAAAACAATTCCAACTGTTATTCTTAAACTGTGTTCCCTACTCCACCCCACTCCCAAAACAACAACAAACGTGTCACCTTGTTGGCAGCAAGCAGCCTGGTCCATCTCTGTGGCCACAGCCTGCCTCACCCCTCCCGTGCTTCCAACCCACCCTCCTAGGCAGCCATCTGGATCCTGTAACACCCACATTCAGCAGCTGCAGTCCCCAGCACAAATCCACCAGGGGCTGTCCACCATCTCATCAGTGAGGTGGAAACCACACTCCTTCCCTGAGCCTAGCCTGATGGCCCTGGCTGATCTTTCCAGTCCTCTCTGTGCTCCACACGGTTACCACCCACAGCCACCCTGTGAGTTTCTTATTCCTGGATTCCTTACCAGCTCCCACCACCCACCCCCAGCTCCATGCTCAGCAGTGCCCCCTAGCTGAACTCTCCTCCCTTGGCTCTTCATCTGGTTGCAGTTCCCCATCCCACTCACTGAGGCTAACTGTCACCATCTGGGGTTACATCACTATCTGCAAAAGCTTCCATGAGCATCACACACGCACACACGCACAGACACATGCTCATATACACAGTACAGAATGGAAGCTCTTCAGAGCACAGCCCTTATGTCCAGATATGACAGGAGCAATGAATGTTCCAGGTAAGTGAATGAATGTCCTCCCTAGACTCCTATATCCCACCGTGCCTTGGGGTGGGAGGGATGAATGAGGTGCAGGTGTCCCGCAGTACCCGTGAGCTTCAATTTCAGGACACCCCTGAGATTCCAAATTCCTTACATAAATTAGCACAGCATTTGCATACAGCCTACTCCATCTATCTGGATACATTTTGGGGGTGGGGGGTGCTAAGAATTGATCTGATCCCAGGGCCTCAAAGTACACATGCTGCAGATGAGCTCCATCCCCTCCATACACCTAAGTCCTCTACAGATCACTTCCAGTACCTAACAGCCTAATATCCCTTCACCCGTGTGAACCTACCACTGGTACTTGCTCTGAAGCAGACTTCCATTTTGCATTTTGGAATCTTCTGGAATTTTTTCCCAACCATTTTTGATTTGTAGTTTGGGTGAATGCAGACTTAACAGACTCCACAGACACAGAAACTTCGGTTATGAAAGGTCCACTATAGTCTCCTGGGACCGGGGTGTTCCACCCAATCAGCCCACAGAGCTGCCTCACGGTCTGGAAACCACTCTGCCCAGCCCCACCCTGCTGGACAAGAGATGTTCCTTCCACCAGAAACATGGTACATGGGGTAAACCACCTCCTTCAAAAAGGTGATTTTTCCAGTGGTATATTTTGCCTTTGAGTAGAAAATTTCAAAAACAGACAATTTTAAGGAAAGTCAATCTCACATCAACTCAATAATCACCACCACGATCTTCCCCCAAATCAACCTACTCAAATCTGGTACATTTTCTCTACATCTATCTGTTTTTCCACATATTGTATTTTATTCTGTTTCCTTATTTTTACTCTATCTCCTCCCCAAAAGGATAAGTGGCTTTAAAAAGATACTTAAGACAATCGTGGTGGCACGCACCTGTGATCCCAGCACTCAGGAGGGAGAGAGGCAGGAGATCTCTGCGAGTTGGAGGCTAGCATGGGCTACAAGTCAGTCAGTAAGCCAGAGCTACACAGTGAGACCCTATCCAAAAAACAAACAACAACAAAACCTTAAAACACAAGATTCCATCCAACAAGAAGATGGCAAGGAGGAAGAAAAAATGGTGAGACGAAACAAAAATAAGAACAAGGCTGTATGCCACATGTTTACACATATGTGCAGACATGTAGAAATGCACACACATTTGCACATATGCATGTATGTATCTATAGATAAACACATTCAGCCTCATGCATCTGCTAGAGTTAGGGTTAGGCTCTCTAGCCCACACACAGCAAGCTTAGCACCCACAGATCTCCTTCCTTTGGGATTAGCAAAACCAATCACTTCTCAGGAGGATACCTACTACCAATCCTAAGAACCACAGTCTCCAAAGCAAAACCAATCACTTCTCAGGAGGATACCTACTACCAATCCTAAGAACCACAGTCTCCTAATCTGGAAATAACCCTCACCCCTACAGAGTAGGGCTATTTGAAAATATCTTAATAGTATCAGGTTAAAGTAATTTACAAATGCACATTAAATGTTTTCATTCACACATTACAAAGAAAACAAAGTTCTGTCCCCAGGCTCCTTCTCTGTTCTGGTTACCTGTCTGTACTAAACATGGCCTCATCCTGATATGCTTTAAGATCATACTCTTTAAGATTTGGTAATAAAAGTTCCTCATCACTATTTTTTTTCAGTGCTTGGCACTGAACCTAGGGTCGTGTGCATGTTAGGTAATCCCCTATGCGACTGAGCTACCCAGGCCTCTAATGTTTATGAGGGAAAAAAACCTCAACACCTCACTTCCTCTATAAGGTCTGTGCTTCCCTTCCACCTGTAGAAGCTGTGAGGGTCATGTGCAGGATGCCCACTCCTCCAGGCAGCTACTCAAGGAGCCTGCTGTGGCTATGCCTCTACTCACCCTTCCACAAAGCAGTAGGGACAGCTGCCCGGGACACCTTCAGAGACAGGACCCACTGGGGACAGCAAGCTATCTGATGCTTTGCCCCTCCAACTTCAAGGCACATGAGAATTGCCTTGGGCATAAACCACGGGTTACCACCCTCACCCCATTCTGGGGCCACAGGTCCAGACATCCACCTGGGAAGTACACTTCTGATAAGCAGCCACTTTGACTCTGGCTAACTAGAAATGGTTTCCCATCTGCCTCTCTCCTTTCACCCACTCTGACTTGTGAGGGGCCTGTTAACCATGTAATGGCAGCATCACTTTCAAAACATGACCAGGTTCCCTGGCTGCAGTGCTGAGCCCTCCCTCCATGTCCAAAGCCAGTACTCAGTGAGGGATCCACATGAAACACTCCAGGAAAACAGGCTGTTTCCTTCAAGAGCTAATGACATTCACAAGTGGGTCCCCAAGAAGCCTGCACAGGCTTTCGAAACCACAGTGTTCCTTCCTTCATCCAGGCTCTCCTGGGAAGAGCTGCTCCCCGGGAACAGGGCAGAAGGTCATGCTCACTTCCGGAGGGAGCAGGGATGGGTAAGGACACAAGCTCAGAAACCGCTCACAGAGAAGTTGCAGATCTCCTTCCTAAGCTGGCTGCCTCAGCAAGAGGAAAGCTCAGCCACCAGCCAGCAACAACAAGGGGGTGGACTTTGGGGTCCGAGCGCCCTAAGACCAGAGTCTGCTTGCTGTGGCAGTCTTCTTCCTTGTGGTTGAGCTGCTGGGCTTTCTATCGCTTCATCTAGAACACAAACATGAAGCCCTACCCAAGGAGGGTACACAGGAAAGCCTAGGGAAAATACCTCCCAAATGCCTGGTGCACACTGGCTCT